CCCAACTACCCTCTATTATAACCTAAATACCCACTATCAAGGACCATAAGGGCTCTATTCAAGGGTACATGGGGGGTGCTGGTAAACCCTAAACCCTAAACCCTAAACCCTAAACCCTAAACCCTAAACCCTAAACCCTAAACCCTAAACCCTAAACCCCAAAGCTGCTGAACCCTACTGGACGGGGAGTCGCGGGCTCAAGGATCTCACAGCTTCCAGACGCCTGCTTAATGTAGGGGCCTTAATGATTAGAATAGGGTTCTGGGCTCTAGTATGTTATAATAATAAGGAACCCTAACAGTAATATGGGTAACTGTTCAGGCTTCTATATTATCTGAAATGTTTTTCCTTCTTTCAGGACTCAATCAAGCCCCAATTCAAGCCCCTTTAACAACTGACCCTAAACCCTAAACCCTAGCCTAAACCCTAAGCCCCCAATTCAACCCCCCTTTTACAGCCGTACAACGCCCTTGATCGTCCCTTGCGGGAAGACGGGGCTCTCTGGATGAAACCCACGAGGAATTCACCTCACTCAATGATTAGAATAGGTTTGTGGGGTTACTTTTAAGGGTTCCTTAAAGGGTTCTACGAGGGCTACCATAAGGGTTTAGGGTTTAGGGGCCTCAATAAAATAGAACAGGGTTTGGGAATTATACTGTAATTATACTAGCGAACCCCACATTACTATAGGTGATTCTGAAGGCCCCTATATTACCCACTCTCGCCATCGACGTCAGTGCACAGGCCTACTAAGTAGGGATATAAGCAAGGTGACAACTGCGCATAGCCTTAGTTAAAGTACTTATAACCCTGCCTACTAAGTCCTATAATCCTCCCCTTAGGGGCTGAGCACCCTTGCCCCAAGAAGGTCAACCTTTTCAAGTATAGTAGGATTATCTAAGGCCCAAAAGGTTCAAGGTTACCTACTCGGCCCCTAAGTCCAAGTAGGTCTTAGACCAACTCTGAACCCAAGCACCGGACACGGCCAAGGCCCTAAACCCTAAACCCTAAACCCTAAACCCTAAACCCTAAACCCTAAACCCTAAACCGTCAACAGAAGTCCTGAAAAAGCGCCAGCGCCACCGCCTGATCGTCTGCCTGCCCGGCAAATCCATCTCGGGCGGGGGTTTGGGGTTTAGGGGTTTAGGGTTTAGGGTTTGGGGTTTAAGCTTTTGGGTTTAGGGTTTAGGGCTTACCGTT